CAGTTTCGAGGGCTGCTGGGGGGGGCAGCGGAGTGGGGTACTCAGATTCGACCTCGCCATTCCTGGGGGACTGCGATTTGCGAAACCGTCGCCACTTTCGATGGCTGCTGGGGGGCCAGCGGAGTGGGTCCTACGCAGACTCAGGCTCGACTTCGCCATCGCCGAAGGGCTGCGATCTGCGAAACTGTCGCCACTTTCGAGGGCTGCTGGAGGGCCCAGCGGAGTGGGGACATATTCGGATTCAGATTAGACCTCGCCATCCCTGGGGGGGCTGCGATCTGCGAAACTGTCACCACTTTCGAGGGCTGCTGGGTGGCCCAGCGGAGTGACGTCATACGCGAGCCTGGGGCTTTAATCCTCGTTCTTCCGATCGTCGTCCTGTGAGCCGTGCAATGCGTGCGCATCCCATGTAGTTTGCACAGCAATTCACATCGCCTACATTATCGTTGTTCCTGCTAATGTTGGCCTACTCCTCTTGCCACTTGATGCACGTGGGTTGGGTACGTCGCAGGGTAATTTCCACCACCGTCGCTGCCGCAGACAAGTTTGGAGCAAATTTTATCGGACTTCAGCTTCAGGTGGGCTTCGGCCCATTCGGCGCCGGAGCTCGACGCGGAGTCCGGCGAGGATCAAGTCGACAAGCTTGCGAAGTATCTTGGGATCGCATGCGGACCGAAGTCCATCCAGGTATCCACCCTCGAAATGGGCGCCATGGGCGTCGGCGGATCTACCGAGTTCCCCCCGGCTGGAATCTGCCTGTTGGCAGTGTAAAGAACTGTGGCGCTCTCGCGGTACCTGGCCCAAGTGGGCGCTCCTCTGCTGCCTCCAGTTGACGAGCTTCGTCAGTAGGGCATGGCTCTGGACGCGCCAGGCGGGCCCGCCACTTGACGCGCTCGACGGCAGTCGGTCGAGCGCGCGCGACGCAGACCCAGGCAGGCAAGGCGCAAACCATATCCTTGATGTCCCCGGGCGGTTGGCGGAGAAAGAAGAATCTTCAGGCCGTCTCTCCGAAGACAAGGGATGTCGTCAAGTTCTCGGGCCTAAGGGCGCTTCTATTGCACGTGAATCCGCGGGCGCCCCTGGCTCGAACCAGCCTGCCTCGGCCAGCCACCGATGCCTTCGGCGTCGACCGCGACGTCGGGCCGCGCGGTGCGCGCCCAGTCGAAGCAGGGGCTGCGACAGGAATATCGGCCGAGCATTGCAAGCCCCAGCCGGCCCTTCTCGGGGCCAGAGAAGCACGCGCGCGGCAGCGGTGCCACCTGCGCCTCGAGCTCCTGGCGCCCTTGTCACGCGGCCATCGGGCGCCGCGCGGGCGCGCGCATCGGTGCGACTACACGCGAGAACATGCTCGGGGAAGCGAAGAACCTGGGCGGCGAAGCCGCGCCGCGCGGCGCCGCGCGCCAGCGTCGTGGCCCGAGGCCTTTCGCTCGAGTCTTGAGCATCAACGCCAGGGAGCGGTTCGCGGTCGGCGAGATGTAGCTGCCAGGCGGCGCCGGCAAGCAGACGGCCGAGCGTGCCGTCTGTCTTCGCCCGGAGAACGGCGCGCGACGCTGGGGCAGCGCCGGGCTCTCGGGCGCGCGACGCATGCCAGATGCGTTAGATGGGGCGCCCTGTCTCCGATTATCTTCAGACTGGAGAACCGGCCGGCGACGAGCTCGGGGCGTTCGGGACGCGCGCGGGCGGCGCGTTCATGGGGGCCTGCGAGAGAGATGTCCATCGCTGCCAGCGGCGCGTGAAGACCCGCGAGTCGGGCGAGCCAGTGACTCCGCAAGGCCTCCGGCGCCTGGCGATGCACGCGGCGACCCGCGAGATGGGGGAGCAGTGGCGAAGCGTCCTGACTTGCCCGTAGGCCCACCAACTAATCCTCTAAGAACCTTTTGCGGTTTGCACGAGATGTCCTCAGTATATTTCTGGCGGGGGCAGCCTTGGTCTCAGTTTTCGTTGCTCGAAGAGCCTTTGGCTATGAGAGCATGCCGTGGTAGGCCTGCATGTCGGTCGGTCCCTGCTCAATTCGGGGGCACTCGTCTGTCCTATCAGCGGCTGTCCTGTTCTGGTGCGCGACGTGTTGTCGAAGCGGGGTCGACGTAGAACCGACGTGGATGCGACAGAGACTCGACGCTGGTTCGCCCGGCTCTGCCTCCACGGCCTGTGCCTCGACTGGGCCCCAAAAAAGGGGGCCCGCAGGGCCCTGCCTGGCAGCCCCAGGAACGTCTCCGCGACTCGATTCTTTCGCGCCGCGGCCCTCCGGACCTCTTTGGGTCAAGTTTTCTTTGACCGGGTTCCACCCAAACGGCGTTTGGGCGATTTCGTGGGCCGTCTTCGTTTCGATTTCGTTCTACAGCGAAGGCGGATCGAAGACACGACGAGGGAAAGCGAAAACAGAACGAACACGGCTCTAGGCCTCTTAGATCGGGTCGGAGTAGATGGGGTCAGAGGATCGCGCCGCATCGCCGATGCATCGGCGACGCGGCTCGATGCAGGGCCCTGTTTTCACCGCGCAGACGTCGCCGATGCACCGCCGACGTCGCCGATGCATTGGCGACGCGGAGCGATCCTCCGGCCCCGTCTACTCCGGCCCCCTCTGGGAGGCCTCCAACGACAAACACTCTTTGGGTCGATGCTGGGACCCGCCCTGAGCTCTTGCCCGAGGCGTGCCGGAGCGCGGCCGGAGCGCTCGAGGGCGCACCGGAGGGGCCGCGGCGCCGGCTGCATCCTCGAAACCGTCCGGCTCTCGGAGAGCGCCAGCTCCTCGTCTTGGCATCGCTCGGACGTGTGCCGCGTCTGCTTTACGATTCTCTTCGCTTGAGCGACGCAACAAAAAAAACGGGGTCGTCTTCGCCGACGTTGGCGCGTAGGTTGCCCGCGGAAGGTCGCGCGTAAGCGCCCTCGTCTCCTGTGTGGCGTGCCGCGCTGGCGGCCCGCGTAAGCTGTGGCGTAAGGTCGCCACGTCATCTTGCGCAAGAAGACCCCGTTTTGACCGCCGCTCATGTTGTGGCTGGTACAGTGGAGACCCATGCCAAGAAACACCCTGCTTGTCTCCAGGGTGCCCTGGGTTTCTTGGGTTGCGATCGTTTTGCTATGGAAAGCGTGACGTTCCCACACCGAACATCGATGCACGTCCTGGGTTCTCAGGGTTGGGTTTCTTGCGGAAGGTTTTTTTGGTCGAGCCCATATTGCATGGCTTATTATTATTTTCAGGTTGGTTCTGCGATGCCAATCGTGGAGCAAGCGGTGTGCTCAGGAGGGCTATCGAATGTGAGGTCTTCCAAGACCTGATGTCACTCGGAGAGTTGGTGAAGCCACGTCTCTGATTCAAGCTCTGTCGACTTGTTGGTCGCACGCCAATATCTGCCGCGATCGAAGAATCCAGCTATAGTTGAGACGGTCCAACCTACTTTAGCCTTGATCACCAAAAACAATTTCGAGCACGAAGGAAGTACCGCAACCGGAGGGTTCGCACGTGTCGGGCCCTGGGAGGCGATACTTGTTCGGCACTGCTGCGATACCTTTCTGGGTGCTGGAACTCACTTTTGGGATGTGGTCCTGGTCCGATGGGAGCAGCATGCAGCCAGCTGTATGAGGCAATTGTCCTGCCCGAGCTGCCGCAGAACCTGGAGACTGCGTGGGCGCTGCAGGCGGGCGGGGCCCGCTTACGACGGCCTCCGCGCGCGATACTTGCGGCGTGCTTTCCGAATCCCGGGATCAGCGTGCGTGTCTTCTCCGAGTCTTATGATCTGCCAACCTACGTTAGCCTTCATCGCCAGAAAAAAAAATTCGAGCACCACGACAGGTTCGAAACTGGAGGGTTTTCACGTGACGGGCCGTGGGGGGCGATACTCGTTGGACGACACTTTTCGGCGAGTTCGTTAGTAAGCGTGGGGGGTCCCCCCCCCCGACGGGGGTCGACCTCGCCTCGTCGGCGCGCCGCGACGGGGGTTGGAGCGCCTTTGGGGCCCCCCCCACGCTTATGAACCAACTCGGAGTAGAATTCCTAACACAGAAATTCTGAAACGTGCACAGGAGCCGCAGCTGAGCGAAACGCTCCGCGATCGGCAAATGAATGTGTATAGGGAGATTTCGGCACTCCCGGAAGGCAATCTCCTCGAAGTCCATACGTGTGAGCCTGGTACAAGGTTGCCTAGACAGTGGGGTCACAGAAGGAAGAGAGGGATACCCAAACAGCAATGGGCTTCTAATGTCTATTTGCCTTTGCCTGAACGCTCGCTCTAACGTCCTCCTTTTCTCTCCTCTTCCCTGCTTCCTCTTCCCTCCTGCTTCTCTGCTTCACAGTCGGGCGCTTCATTCTTCTGCCGCACGATCGTGATACGCGCGTCACAGTCGTGATGCGCTCATTTTGCCATCGCGCGTCATCACAACTTGGAGGATTAAGCACGGGTCCAGCAGGGACCCCGATGCTTTTGCCATGGCCGTCGCGCCTCACAGTTGCATGGCTTTTGGTCTGACATTTGTATCTGCCAATGTGCCGTTTGGGCGACAGGCTTGATCGACTGATTATCGGTATGCTACTGCTGTAACTTGACGGACATCACCACCACTCCGGACTCTTATCGTTGTTCCTGCCCTCTGTCACGTGGAAGGTCTCCTCCGTTTTCGCCTGCGCGCGCTGGCGCCCCAGGCCGCAGTGCCTCGCGGGGGGGGGCAGCGGCGCACCAGCGTTGTGGCCGCACGCCTTTGGCGCTGCCGAGTCAGTGCCGCACCTCCGCGGCGGCCCGCGAGCAGAAGGGTGGTGTGCCCGGACTGTTGCGGGACCTCCTGGTGAGCTCCAGGGGGCCCCCAGAGAGTTCTGGGAGGGAGGGGGGGGAGGGAGGAGGAGGAGGAGGAGGTAGGTGAGAGGGATGGAGGGGCGGAGAGTTGGAGGAGGGAAGTGAGGAGGGACGGGGAGTTGGAGGAGGGAGGTGGGAGAGGAGGGAGAGGAGGAGGAGGAGGAGGAGGAGGAGGAGGAGCAGGAGGAGTAGACCGATCGGCAGCTCAGCGCAGAGGACCCCTGTCCTGGCCACGCCCAACCCAGATTACGACGCGCTCGCCATGAACGTTACGAGACCCGAGGGTGAGTTGTCCTTCCACGACCTGTGGGCCGAGATAGCGGCCAGGCATATGGCTCGAACCGCGCGCAGGTGCAACCCTGCTTCTACGGCTGCTGCTCCTGCTCCCTCCTGCCTCCCTCCGTGGCTTCCTCCTCCTCGCCCTCCCTCCATCCGCCTTTATCTCCCATGTCTCCCGTCTCGCCAAATCGTGGCATGATGTCATTTCGTGCCCTTCTTCCTTGTCCACCCTCCCTGCACAGGTAGACCGTTCCGTTGATCCAAAGTCTTTCCTGGCTTTCGGGGTGAATGAAGCCTGCCCGTCCGCCCCTTCGCAGCGGTTGTGCGCCCGATCATGATCAATTCTCCCAGTACGGTTTGTCGTGTGGTCGAGAGGGTCTCCTCTCAGGATCCTTCTCGCCCCAATGCCTGCTGCCTTCTCCTCCTGCAACTCCTGCTCCTCATCCATCCATCCTCCTTCCACCTCACTCCTCCCTCTCCCCTTCCCGGAGACGGAGGAGGATGGCGGCGGCGACGACAACCGACCGATCCCTAGGGAAGGCCAAGTACACACAATCACACACACGCACACACGCACACACGCACACACGCACACACGCACACACGCACACACGCACACACGCACACACACACACACACACACGCACACGCGCACGCGCGCACGCGCGCACGCACGTACGCACGCACACACAACAAAACACAGCACTACACAACACAAATCAACACAACGCAACACAACACAACGCAACACACCACACACCACACACACCACACACCACACACACACACACCCTCACGCACACACACACACACACACGCACACACGCACACACGCACACATGCACACACACGCACACGCGCACGCGCGCGCACACACGCACACACGAACACACGCACACACACACACACACGCACACACACACACGCACACACGCACACACGCACACACGCACACACGCACGCACACGCACACACGCACACACGCACACACGCACACACGCACACACGCACACACGCACACACGCACACACACACACACACACGCACACGCACACGCACACACGCACACACGCACACACACACGCACACACGCACACACGCACACACGCACACACGCACACACGCACACACGCACACACGCACACACGCACACACGCACACACGCACACACGCACACACGCACACACGCACTTGCACCCGCACCCGCACCCGCACCCGCACCCGCACCCGCACGCGCACGCGCACGCGCACCCGCACGCGCACGCACACGCACACGCACACACACACACACACATACACATACACACACGCACACGCACACACACACACACACTTCCCATGTCGAGACAGGCCAACTAGTTGTATTTTTGCAGCGAGGAGGCGTAGCAACGTTCCGACCTTCTCTAGAGTGTGCAGCAGGAGTGCCAGCTGCGTGGATGGCCTCATCAATATTCTTCTGCAGCAAGTGTGCCAGCTGTGTGGATGGCCTCACCGTGGAGCTGAGGCCGTTGCGCCCGTGCTCCTGAGTTTGCAATGCCCCCCCTCGGCGCGGATGACAAGCCGTGCCTGGGGGGCCTGAGGGGCTGCTGTCCCTTGGGGTGCTTGGGCCCGCATTCGCCGTTGGCGGTGGCCTGGGCTCGGCTGAGCCCGCTCGCTTTTCAGCCCCCCTTGGCTCCAGGCTGAGGGGCCTAGGGTGGGGCGCGGCCTCGAGAGGGCCAGCGCGGTCTGCACCCTGGGGAGTCGGCGGAAGCGCTGCCCGCGGCTCGGCTCCCTCGGAGGCTCGGCAGGCGACGGTCGGTCGCTCGAGAGCCCAGCGCACGGGACTGGCGAGGCGTTGACGCCCCAGGCTGCCGAAGCAAACAAGCACCAAAACACACACACACACACACACACACACGCACACGCACACGCACACACACACTGACACACACACACACACGCACACGCACACGCACACGCACACGCACACGCACACGCACATGCACTCGCACTCGCACTCGCACTCGCACTCGCACTCGCACTCGCACTCGCACTCGCACTCACACACGCACACGCACACGCATGCGCACGCGCACGCGCACGCGCATGCGCGCATACACACAACAACAGACAAACATATCTGCCTCGACGGAAAATGTTTTATTTAATTCCTATTGCTTTGCTTCCTCGGACAGTGCATCAGCACCTGCTTGGCCCTGGCGCGCCATATAGGCCCACCCTCGCGAGAGCGGGGTGAGTTGACTTGACTCCTCGAGGAAGAGGGGGAGGAGGAGCAGGAGGAGCAGGAGGAGGAGCAGGAGCAGGAGCAGGAGCAGGAGGAGGCGGAGGCGGAGGCGGAGGCGGAAGCGGGGAATCCCAGGAATCTCTGGGGAACGGGCAAAGTTAGCCCCCGAGACACCAACTTTGAACAACGTAAGAACCCCTAAGGCAAACTTGGTTGTAGACAGAGTTCGGAGGTCCGCGCGGATTTCTCGGATCGACGCTGGACCCCTCCCAGGCGAGCGGAGCGCGCCAAGGGCGCCGTCAGGGGGTTCTAGCGCCGATTCGAGAAATCCGCGCGGACCTTCGGAATGTTTGTCGTTGTTTGCTTCCCTATGCGTGGCGCCGCCCGGCACAGCCTGGCGCGGCGAGGCTGGAGCGATGGAGTGCGCCGACGCCGTCGGCCGGAGAAGGACGGCTTGTCGCGTGTCCGGCCTCGGCAGCCCTGTTTCCTTCAGGACCCATCAGTTCCACGGCGACCCCGCGGGCCACGAGCCCCCCCCCGCCAGGCCACTCGGCCAGGAGGCCGAAGGATCGCCCGCGGCTCGCAGCTGCCGCCTGCGGTCACATCCTCCCCAAGGCCGAGGGCCATGGCGAAAGCTGCGCGACTGCAGGGTGGACTGGCGCCCGTGCGTTCCCCCTCCTCCACCTCCTCCTCGTCCCCCTCCTCCGCCTCCGCCTCCGGATTCCCTGGGTCCCCCAGCTTCCCCAGCTTCCCCAGGTTCCCCAAGTTCCCCGGGTTACCCCAGTGACTCGAATTCCAAACAATGCCAAGCAGTGCCAAGCACTGCGCCCATTAAAATAGCAAGCTTTCCCTGATTGGGGTCGCGCCGGTTTCTTTGATATTTCTGTCATTGCTTGTTCCCCTGAACGCGGGCGCGCGGCGCCACGCAGGCGCGCTGTGCCCGCGGGGCAGCCCCAGAAGGCGTCCACCCCCAGGCTGCGCCAGCGGCCTGGCCCGGCGGGCAGCCACCGGCCATCGCGCTGCGCGCGCCGCTTGGGCAGCGAGGGCTGCAGACAAGGGCCCCTCCTTCGAGCAGCGAGGGCTGCAGACAAGGGCCCCTCCTTCGGGCAGCGAGGGCTGCAGACAAGGGTCCCTCCTTCGAGCAGCGAGGGCTGCAGACAAGGGACCCTCCTTCGGGCAGCGAGGGCTGCAGACAAGGGCTCCTCCTTAGGGCAGCGAGGGCTGCAGACAAGGGCCCCTCCTTGGGGCAGCGAGGGCTGCAGACAAGGGCCCCTCCTTCGGGCAGCGAGGGCTGCAGACAAGGGCCCCTCCTTCGAGCAGCGAGGGCTGCAGACAAGGGCCCTTCCTTCGGGCAGCGAGGGCTGCAGACAAAGGCCCCTCCTTCGAGCAGCGAGGGCTGCAGACAAGGGCCCCTCCTTGCAGCAGCGAGGGCTGCAGACAAGGGCCCCTCCTTCGGGCAGCGAGGGCTGCAGACAAGGGCCCCTCCTTCGAGCAGCGAGGGCTGCAGACAAGGGCCCCTCCTTCGAGCAGCGAGGGCTGCAGACAAGGGCCCCTCCTTAGGGCAGCGAGGGCTGCAGACAAGGGCCCCTCCTTCGAGCAGCGAGGGCTGCAGACAAGGGCCCCTCCTTCGGGCAGCGAGGGCTGCAGACAAGGGCCCCTCCTTAGGGCAGCGAGGGCTGCAGACAAGGGCCCCTCCTTGGGGCAGCGAGGGCTGCAGACAAGGGCCCCTCCTTCGGGCAGCGAGGGCTGCAGACAAGGGCTCCTCCTGACGGCAGCGAGGGCTGCAGACAAGGGCCCCCGAGGGGCCCTGTGGGGCCCCGAGGCCGTCGACCTCGCACGGGGGCGCGCCCGCCCTGGCGGCAGCCTGCACGGCAGCCGCCGCGCTGTGCAGCGCCGCCGCACGCGCCGGCGGCCCCGTGGGGATCCGACGCCGCACCCGCTGGGGCGCAGCGCAGGGCCTTGCGATTGCTTGAGCCAAAGTGGCTGCAAAGGAGGAGGAGGAGGAGGAGGAGGAGGAGGAGGAGGAGGAGGAGCAGGAGCAGGAGCAGGAGCAGGAGCAGGAGCAGGAGCAGGAGCAGGAGCAGGAGAAGGGGGAGGAGCTGGGGAGGAGGAGCAGGAGGAGGAGGAGGAGGCGGAGGAGGAGGCGGAAGAGGAGGAGGAGGAGGACAGGGATCATTCCGATTCGATCGATTCGATCCGATTCGGGCGCGCCCGATTCCGATTCGATGTCGATTCGACTCGGCGCAGGTTGAAACCGATTCGATTTCGATTCGATCTTGATCCGATTCGATTTCGATTCGATGCGCCGCCCCCCCAGGCTCCCCTCATGCTCCCCTCCTCTGACTTTGGCATAATCCACATGGACGGCCGCGAACTGGTCGGTTCGGTTGCGTCGGTGTCGGTCAGAATCGATCGGTTCGGTCGGTTCGGTTGTTGCGGAGTCCTTGCGTCGTCGCGCCCTCTTCGGTTACTTCGGTTGATTCGGTTTCGCCGCGGGCGCCTCGCTGGCGCCTCGTGCCGGCCCAGTTCGGCTTCGCTGCCCACGGATTCGCGCCGATCCGACGCCGCTTGGCTTTTCCCGTTGAAGAAAACAGGAGGAGGAGGAGGATCAGGAGGAGGAGGAGGAGGAGCAGGAGGAGGAGGAGCAGCAGGAGCAGGAGCAGCAGGAGCAGGAGCAAGGAGGTTGGTTGACTGATTGGCCGGATGTGCGCAGTGGCGCGTTGTTGGAGGCTCCCTGGAGGCGCGAGCTCCAGAGGCTCCCCGGAGGCGCCGGAGGCCCCGGGGAGAGAAAAACGATGTTTCAGGCCTCGAAAAATTAGTTTTCGGCTCCCGGGAGCTCCGGAGGCTCCCCGGAGGCGCCGGAGGCCCCGGGGAGAGAAAAACAATGTTTCAGGCCTCGAAGAATGCGTTTTCGGCACCCGGGAGCTCCGGAGGCTCTCCGGAGGCGTCGAATACCTCGGGGAGAGAAAAACAATTTTTCAGGCCTCGAAAAATCCGTTTTCGGCTCCCAGGAGCTCCAGAGGCTCCCCGGAGGCGTCGAAGGCCCCAGGGAGAGAAAAGCAATTTTTCAGGCATCGAAAAATGCGTTTTCGGGTGGCCCAGAGGCGCTCCAGAGGGCCCTGGATGCCCCCCCCCCGGTGCAGCCGGGGCGTGGGCACGGTTCGGGCTAGCAGATTCCGATTCGATTTCGATTCGGCTTGCGCTACCGACTTGCAACCGATTATATTTCGATTTCGAATCGATTCGATGCAGCGCCCAGGCATTCCGATTCGATGTCGATTCGATGGCCGCCCGATGCGCTCCGATCCGATGCTGGTTCCGATTCGATTCGATGTTTCAATTCGATGCAGCTGTCGCCTGGAGGAGGAGGAGGAGGAGGAGGAGGAGGAGGAGGAGAGGAGGAGGAGGAGGAGGAGGAGGAGGAGAAGAAGGGGGAGGGGGAGGAGGGGAGGAGGAGGAGGAGGAGGAGGATGAGGAGAGGAGGAGGAGGACGAGGAGGAGGAGGGGGAGGGGGGAGGGAGGGAGGGAGGGAGGAGGGGAGGAGGGGGAGGGGGAGGGGGAGGGGGAGGGGGAGGAGAGGAGGAGGAGGAGGAGGAGGAGGAGGAGGAGGAGGAGGAGGAGGAGGAGGAGGAGGAGGAGGAGGAGGACGAGGAGGACGAGGAGGACGCCGACGACGACGAGGAGGACGAGGAAGAGGACGAGGACGAGGACGAGGACGAGGGGAGGCGAAGGCAGGAGGGCGGGGAGGAGGGACGGGGCCACCCTCAGGCGCACCACCGTCGCCCGCCGCTCCGTGGCCGTCAGCAGGCGCCTCGCAGGTCTCCCAATCAGGGCCAGAGCATGTGGTGCCGGAGGGTCGCGTCGCATCGCCGATGCATTGGCGTTGCGGTGCGATCTGGAGTTCGGTTTCCTCCGTCCAGACGTCGCCGATGGACGTCGCCGATGCATTTGCGATGCGGTGCGATCTGGAATTCAGTTTCCTCCGTCCTGACGTCGCCGATGGACGTCGCCGATGCATCTGCGATGCAGCGCGATCCTATGACCCCATCTGCTCGGCCCCATCTGGTCGGATTTCGACAGGAGTGTGTTTGGCCCAAGGTGTCCCCAGCTTGCTGCCATTTGGGATCCTTGCTGCCCCACCCCACTTTCTGTGCCTCGACTGGGCCCCTTAGGGCCCGCAGAGCTCTCGCTGGCAGCTCCTGGGAACACTTTCGCAGCTCGATTCTTTCGCGCCGCAGGTCCTCGGACCTCTGGTCGGCGGCCAGCGTGGGGGGGAACTGAGCAGGAGAAGGCCTTCCCAGAAGGCGGCGGGACTTCTCAGAAGCCCTCGCGCCTTCCGAGAAGTTCTTTCTGCCTTCGGGGAAGGCCCAGAAAACTTCTCAGAGGGCCGGGGGGGGCTTCCGAGCCTTCTGCGAAGGCCCTCTCCTCCCCACTTCCCCCCCTCGCTCGCCGCCGACCTTTCCTGGCGGGGCTACAGTGGAGACCCATGCCAAGGGTTCTTGTGGTCGAGCCCCTGCTGTAGGACCAGGACAGATCCTTCCAGAGCTGTCCCGAACGATCTCAGAGCGTTCTGGAGCGCTCTCTAGCGACAGCAGCGCCGATGCATGCTCCACAACCGCCGATGTGTCCCGGTCCAGGTTTGCCCTGGTCTTGGCTTCGTCTTGCGACAGTTGAAGAACAAGATCGGGCGTGGGTTGTCCAAGACGCCAGAGTTTCTTGTGTACGTAGACTTGCCATTTGCTAGAGCATGGGCGGCTTGGCCCGTGGGTGGTTCTCCTCGGCGCGGCAGGCTCCTCGGTCCGCAAAGCGTTGCCTCGTGCGCAGGGCTGGACCTGAACGCCGTCTTGCTGGACGTCGGCTGTGCTTGCTTCTCGTCATTAGGAGGGAAGCGCAGGGCAAACAAGCCAGAGCGAGACGAGCACCAGAACGAAAAGCACACGGAGCGCAGCGTGTGGGCCCAGCCCCGCTCAATGAGCGGTGGAAAGGGGGCGGGGTCGACCGCGCGGACAACTGGCGCTTGAGCTCCCCGCGCTCTTCGTGCGGCGTGCCGTGCTGGCGGCCCGCGCGGGCCGCCGCGTGAGGTCGCTGCCCCGTCGTGCGTGAGGCCCGCTTCAGGCCCTGCCCGTGTTCGGGGGCGGAAAAGAGGGGGGGGGATGATTAGGGGGGGGGGGGAGATCATGGCGGGGGGCATGATATTTCTCCAGATTTCATGGCGCCTCTTCTTGTTTCATTACGTCCCTGGCCCCCCCGCTGGACCGCGCACATGCCGCCGGTCATGATTTGCACCCCCCCCTCTCTTGGACGACCCCCTCTTTGCCGCTCCCGACGTGTGATGTTCCAGTCTGCTTGGGCCCCGACTGCCAGAATCAAGTCGGGCGTGTCCCCCGACACGGGGATGTTCGACGACAAATAAAAACATACCCCCAACATGCCCCCAAACGGTCAAAACATAGATTCAAAACATCGTCCCCAGACTATTTCCGTACCATTTTTGGATTATTTAATCGCTTCGCTCATTCCGCCGGCCCATATTGTCGCACCGTTGTGGGCTAGCCGAGTTTGGGGGCCTCTTGGGGGCCGTTTTGGGGCCTCTTGGGGCCTCTTTTGGGCCTCTTGGGCGCCTCTTGGGGCGTCTTGGGGGCCTCTTGGGGGCCTCTTGGGGCCTTTTTGGGGCCTCCTGGGCGCCTTCTGGGGCGGAGGGCTCGATTTTTCAGTTCTCGGTTCCCCTCTTGAGCCCCTCTTGGGCCCGTCTTGGGGCCTCTTGGTCCGTCTTGGGCGGCACTTGGGCCGTCTTGGGGGCCCTCTTGGGCCGTTTCGGGGCCGTCTTGGGAGCTTCGTGGGCCGTCTTGGAGCGATCTTGGGCGCCTCTTGGGTCGTCTTAGAGCGTCCGGAAGCCGAAAAAGCCAGAACGCAAAAAACATCGGAAAAAACAATGAAAATCAACGATTTTGGCCTCTTGGGGCCCTCTTCGGAGGCCTCTTGGAAGGCTCTTGGGGCGTCTTGAAGGCCTCTTCGGCTGTCTTGGGGGTCTCTTGGGCCGTCTTGGGGTCATCTTCGGCGCCTTGGAGCGCTCTTTGAACGTCTCGGGGGCCTCTTGAGCAATCTTGGGGGCCTCTTGGGGCACTCTTGGCGCGCTCAGGGCGGCCTGAGAGGCCGCACCCAGAAGGAAAACCATCTCTGAGTTGAACCGGGCGGGACCTTCCCAGGCGGCGGGCGGGGTACTTTTCGCCGGGGGACCCCCAGGGGCCGCCCCGCGCGCGCGAACTAGTACAATGTACAATTGTTAACCAGTCACCGGAGATCTTAGCACGCCTCTGGCCCGTTGGGCCGGCGAATTTTTGGGGGTAGTTTGAATGTTTCGTCGAAAATCCGCCAGCAGGGGGACAGACCCAACTTAATGCCAGAAAGAAGTTCGAGCACCAGGAAAGTTCCATGGTTTTCACGTGTCGCGCCCCGGGAGACACTCGTCCGACACTGTTTCGACACTCTTTCGACACTTCTCTGGGTGCTCGAAATTATTTCTGGGATGTGGTCCTTAAGTACGATGGGAGCAACATAACCCTACCTTCTCCGATCATCGATTCAGGCAATTTGATGGGCGGCGGGGCTAGCGTTCGGAATTCGTCGAGCACGTGGCGAAAGCTGAACCGTACCCTTGCCTTCCTTCGGCTCGGGAGGATCGATGGTGGGTGGGGGTAGGGGTAGGGTTCCGAGGTTCGTTCACGGGTCAGCTGCCACTGGTTTCAAAGTGGTGGTGCAGTGGAGACCCATGCCGAGAAAAGCCTTGCTTGCCTCCAGGGTCACGGGTGCCCTGGGTTTTTCGGGTTCCGACGGTCCGATGGTTCTGCTATGGAACGCGCGGCGCTCCCACGCCAACAATCCATGGACGCCCTGGGATCTCAGGGTTGGGCTTCGTGTGGAAGATTTCTTGTGGACTGGACTCCACTGGAGGAGGAGGAGGAGGAGGAGGAGGAGGAGGAGGAGAAGCAGGAGGAGAAGCAGGAGGAGGAGGAGGAGAAGGGGGGGGGATGAGGGGGAGGAGGAGGAGGAGGAGGAGGAGGAGGACCAGCGCACAGCTTGGGATGATGTCTGAGATCCACCGCGCCCCAGCGCGGAGACAGAGGCCTGGGCCTCCGAGCTCTTCAGGAGGAGGAAGCAGCCCCCGCAGCAGAGCTTGATGCTGCTGCCAGATCCCTGAGAGTCTGGCGGTAAAATTGGGCCAGGGGGACAGGGGGTTTGAAAACAACTGGTGAATTCTTCCCCCCTTTCGGGTGTCTTAAACTGAGAACCTTAGAGAGACGGTCGGCGGCACCTGTACTCTGCGGCCCTTGACGTAAACACACCGAATTTAGCCCCCTGCCTTGCTCCATATAAGAGCCGCAATCTTTGCAGATAATCAGGGTTGACGAATTGTCTAGATATTCGAACCAAAGGAGATTGTGCCGTTTCGGGTCCTGGGCCAGCTTAGCCATAGCAGCACAATACCCTGGGCACTTCTCATTCTGACGGGCAATCTGAGATTGGCTAGACTTCGCCGTCACTCGGCAAACGGTGCATAACCATTTACCCCTTATATATTCCCAATTGTGAGTCGCGTCCGCAACCTCTGACACAACAGCAGGCGGCGGAGGAGGGAGCGGAGGAGGCAGAGGGTCGGTCCCAGGGCCCCAGACATGAGGAGCGGACGCGGCTCCGATGGGGGGGTTGGAACTCGTGGGGGCCTCGAGGCCCTTCTTGCCTCTCTTTGGAGCCAAGGCGGGCCACTTAGGGAGGATTCTAGCCAGGTAACGTAAAAATCGGCCGAGCAATTGGGTTTGATTCGCGTGGGATTCTACCTCGGACCTGCTGGGCTGGGCCAACTTCTGGGCCGCCTGCTTTGCCGCCTTGTCGGCAGCATCATTCCCGATGGCATGGGTCCGTTCCTCGGGGGAAGAAAACTCGGCTTCGAGATTCTGGTGGCCTTTCACCTTGCATATACAACTGCTAGGGCGGACGCGGCACGCGCCTGCCAAGACCTTGAAGCCGCTCATCGGAGACCTGCGAGGATAGCGAGGAGCCAGATGGAGGTCTATAGCGGCTTTATAATCCGTGCGCACATGAGTTATCAACGGCGATGCATGACAAGCTAAAAGAATCGCAAGCTGCTCTGCAGCTCCTGAGGTCTGTCGAAACTGCTGCCCCACCTGTCCCGTGAGAATGGCGAATGGCTCGTCTTCACGCAGGGCAACTACAGAGAATCCAGCCGCACGGTAAGCTGGGTGTAGTGAATTGTCGCAACTGCCGTCGGTGTAGACTTGGCCTTCGAAGGCCTCGTGCAAAGACAAATCAGGGTCCCTGCACCAGAATTCAACGTCTTCGATCCCGAGGCCGGGCCTGGCTCCCACGGAAAACTCAGGGTCCCGCTGAAAACCAAAACGCATCAGGGGCTCGTCGCTGCTCGACTGCAACGTGTCCAACTCTGCTGGACTGAAACATTCTTCACGCTCGTTCCTGGACAGCTCGCAGCCGAAAACGCGGTGCTTGATATCATCAGACTCGGCACCACAGGGGCAGGCTGGGTCGACGGGATAGCCTGCATCCTTGGCTCGAGCTTTTGTCCAGCAACCTTGGGTGAGAGGAGGAGGAGGAGGAGGAGGAGGAGGAGGAGGAGGAGGAGGAGGAGGAGGAGGAGGAGGAGGAGGAGGAGGAGGAGGAGGAGGAGGAGGAGGAGGAGGAGGAGGAGGAGGAGGAGGAGGAGGAGGAGGGAGGAGTGGCAGTCCGCGATCGAGGACTAATCCAAAGGGGGCGCTCCAGAGAGGGGATCGCCGTCGAGGGTGAGCAGAGCTGGCCTCGCCCCTCCGGCGCGGGGCGGCGCCGAGGCCGGCGGAAGCCGGCGGAGACGGGACGAGGGCGGCTCCGCCGGCGGAGGCAAACTCTGGGCTCAAGAGTGCGGGCAGTACTTGTATCCATATCCAGAGCGTCGTGGACTTATTGGGAAGAGGTGCCGCAACGCCGAGGCGCACCGGATATGGATAAAATCAAGCCTCTCGGGGCCAGATTTTTGTCCATATCCAGTGCGTCTACGGTTTCTGGGAAAGAGAGCCCAAGAATCCAAGACGCACTGGATGTGGACATAATTATTGCCCGCAAAGAAGACGGGGGTCAATGCAAATCCAGACGTGATCGCGTCGTACAAAAGTCAGGACGGGAGGCTTGGGGCCATGTTCGGCCTCGGGGCGCCGTCGCCGGGCCTCGGGACTGTCAAAAAACGACGCAGGACAAAGGGTCGGGACTGTCAGGAACGCCGTCCTGAGAAAATGACGACGTCACATGTCTGGGGGAGGGGTTCAATGCAAACGGGGATCAGTCAGAGCGCTGGAACTTGCAGGATCCTGCAGGGCCAGGGGTGCACCGACCCGGGTTTGGGCGCAGGATCCTGAAGGATCTTGCAGGATCTTTTGCAGGATCCCTCAAGGCCTGACCGACCCGGGTCTGCATTGACCGGGGTCAGCAGGTCCCCAGCAAGCATCGGAATAGTTGTGGGGTTCGAAGATAACCGAGACCGTTCCACTACTCGCAAAGTGCCTGCTCGCAAATGTCCGAAAAAAACACTGGTCTGCTTCGATGTAAGTTATCGTAGATCCCCCACGGCGGATCCAGGCCATTTGCGAGTAGTTACTTTGCGAGTAGTGGAACGCGCTCGTCTAGAAAAAGAGAAAAGGCGCCATGCACCGCCAACATCTTCGTCCAAAATCCGCCTGTAGGGGGACATTCCCGACCTAAACATAAACTTTTGGCGCTCCGCGCGGATTTCTTGGATCTGCGCTGGGCCCCTCCGAGGGCGCCTCCGGCGCCGCCCCTGGCGCGCTCCGCGCGCTAGGGAGGGGGGGACCAGCGCAGATCCCAGAAATCCGGGCGAAGCGCCAACAGTTTATGCTATGGCCTTTTTTCTTCTTCTGGGGATCCAGTGTTTCCAGAATCGGTCACATGTCAGTTGCACCTGGTCTAAAGCGGTGGTGGTGTTGGTAGGTCGGCGATCGGAGGTCGATCCAATCGGTCCTGCTGCTATCAGGCGATCGCAAACATGGATCAAGGGGGCGTGGATTAGCGACGGGTCCCGTTTCCAGGGGAAACCGCGCATCTCCGCCGCCGAGCGAGGCGGCACCGGCCGCAGTTTGGGGAGGGCACCTCCTCCGACCCAAGGATCTGGCGACCGCGCGCCAGATCCACGGATCGCGGATCCATGCCTGCGCGCCCCCGATGCTGCCCCCCTGGCCGCCATGGCTCGAATCCCTGGGCCCCAGAGGCCAGACCCCTGCCCGTGCTCCGGCTCCGCCCCTTCGTGGAGTTCTGGCGCGCTCTTGGGGGTACGGTTCAGTCGGGTGAGTCCCCCTACAGGGGGATTTTCGACGAAACAAAAAAAAGAAAAAACTCCAAAATTGTCAAAAACTATTCCACAAATAGTCTGGGGACTATTTTTTGAATATTTCTTAATTTTGCCCTTTTTGGGGTATTTTTTATTTTTCGTCGAAAATCCCCCTGTAGGGGGACACGCCCGACATAGGGGTACGGCAGGCTCGCGGCGTGCCGATCGGCGGCGGCCCCGCCGCGGGCGCTCGAGGTGGCACGCCGCCGGTGGCCCCGAAGCGGCACACACGGAACGATCGGGTGATCGGAATCCTCCTCCTCCTCCTCCTCCTCCTCCTCCTCCTCCTCCTCCTCCTCCTCCTCCTCCTCCTCCTCCTCCCTCCTCCCTCCTCCTCCTCCTCCTCCTCCTCCTCCTCCTCTCTCCTCCTCCTCCTCCTCCTCCTCCTCCTCCTCCTCCTCCTCCCTCCTCCTCTCCTCCTCCTCTCCTCCCCCTCCTCCTCCTCCTCCTCCCCCTTCCCTCCTCCTCGTCCTCCTCCTGCTGCTCCTCCTCCGCCGATCGCTCGAGGTTGAGTGATCCAGGCGGTGTCGGAAACCAGCGCCGGGGTCGCCACGACACGAGCCCGCCGTTGTGGACGAGACGCTTGTCGCCCGCAGAGGGCATCGAACAAACCACAGCCGTGCTTGGCCAGAGCCGGGGAAGCGTAAGACTCGAGGACGCCAGAACTCGGGCTTGCTGACGTTTTTTGACGGGCGTGCCCTGAATGTTGACGGTCTGGCTTTCGTGGGGTGTTTGCGGCGGGAGTTCGCGTCAAGTTCCCGATTGGGTCTCGTCATTTTATGGTGGCCCCGTCAGGCCATCCCGAATCCCCCGTACCCGAGTCTTTCCTTTCCCCGACAGAGGCGGCTTGGGTCCCAGAATTCAAGCGGTTGCGAAGCGTCGTGGCTCGCCTACAGGCCCACATAATGGTCTAAGAACCTCTGAGATTGTCTTGTTTGAACACATCGGGCTTATGTTCTAAGAACATTGTTTTTGTTAGAACCATTTTGAGTTCTGAGAACATTTCGTGGTAGGACTATGGGAATGCGGGGACGGTCGGCCCCTGCTCAAAGGATGGTGCACAGCCCCTCGGGGCCTCGGCCAGGTGGGCGCAGGCACCATGCCGCGGCCCAGGAGGGCCGACCACCAGGCGTGGCGGTGGTGCATAGGCTCCCTCTGCGTGTGCTCGAAGCGTTTTTTTTTGTCCAGAAGGGCACACGTCGGTCGTTGGAAGCAGGCGATCTTGGGTTTCCAGATCCCAATCCGCTTCAAGCGCCTTCCTACTTCAAGAATCGATATGTCTGGGCTGTTGTTTGTTATTCTCTGGGAGGGCCTGGACCGACTCTGCGTGATCCGCCTTCCTACTTAATGTTTCGGCCTTCCTCTTCCGACCGACGTGCAGGCGTGGCGGTGGTGCATAGGCTTCCTGTGCGTGTGCATGAAGCGTCGATCGCCCGGAAGGGTAGGCCCACCACCAGGGGTCGGGGCTGGGGATGATTCCCGCCGCAGCCAGCCAGCCCAGCAGGCGCTCGCAGAGCCCGAGTTCGCCCGTCTCGCGGGTGCTCATGTCCGAGTGCCACAACCAGCCCCATCCTCCGGAGGGGGGTGGACTTCGGCGCCGACGCGTGCTTCCTCCTCCTCCTCCTCTTCCTCCTCCTCCTCCTCCTCCGTCCCTCCCTCCTCCTCCTCCTCCTCCTCCTCCTCCTCCTCCTCCTCCTCCTCCTCCTCCTCTTCCTCCCCTTCTTCCCCCGAGGATCAGCGCCACCGCAGTGGTGGGCACCCTCCAAGGCACGCGCGACGGACTGCGCAGACAGAAGCTCGTGGGGCGTCTGCGCGGGCCCTCGACAGCCAGCGCTGGTGCAGCCTGCTGTTCCTCTGCCCCAGGGCCAGCAAAGCGGACAGGGGCACGCCGACACTGAGCACAGGAGGAGGAGGAGGAGGAGGAGGAGGAGAAGGAGGAGGAGGAGGGAAGCACGAGGTGGAGACGGAGTATTAGGGAGGAGAGCGAGGGCGGAGGAGGAGGAGGAGGAGGAGGAGGAGGAGGAGGAGGAGGAGACCCCCCCCTAGACGCTGGAATAGAGACCACTTTGGATTCAGGACTGGCACTGGCTTGCGGGCCGATCCTTCGAAGCCTAATCTACAGTCGGACCGAGGTGTAAGATCGAGGTCGGTTCGCGGAGGAGGGTACCCTGATGCTCTTGTTGGATGTTCTGGTGCATCCTGGGGGGGGCACCCTCGGATGTTCTGTCTGTTTTGGCTGGCGGAGGGCCTCCTGTTCTTGAGGGATGCTCTTCCGGCCCAGGTCCGACTGTACGCCTGACCGAGGGTCTCCGTGGCCTGAGAATCGGGCGGTCGCAAACATTGATCAAGGGGGTGTGGGTTAGCCACGGGTCCCGTTTCCAGGGGAGATCGCGGATTTCCGCCGCCGAACGAGGCAGCAGTGGCCGCATTTGGGGGAGGGCACCTCCCCCGATCCATGGATTTGGCGACCGCGCGCCAGACCCACGGATCGCTGATCCATGCTTGCGCGCCCCCGAGAGAAGCACCCTTGTTCCCTCTCCTCGGCTTTCCTCATTGATCGAGTATGGCCAGGACCCTGGGTAAGGGGACCCGATTAGTGGTAGGGCCACGAAGCCTTTGAATTGGCCAGAATCCCTAAACCATGTTTACCATAGATGGTGTTTCTTCGGGTGACGGCAGTTCCTGTTAGTGGAAATGGGACGGGGGGGCGCCCCCAGTACACATCACTAAACCAGGTTCCACTAAACCCAGTTCTGCCAACGCCTTCCTCATGCTGGCACGACGACTGTGAAAAAGCCCCCAGGCATCCGACGCCTCGATCTTTTCGAGACGGGCCCCCGACCTCCCGACCACTTCCCCGGGACCGACTTGGCACCCTGAGCCGTGCGGGGCCCCCCGAACGGTGTGGTGACCATACGGTGCGGTGAGTCGGTGGGGATTCGGGGTCACCGCACGGCTTTGGGACTCGAGTCCCTCTCCGAGGACGTCTCGGGCGGCAGGGGCTTCTGGGGCCCCAAGACCGTGCGGCGACGGACCGTGCGGTGAGGTCTTGGGGGAGCTCGAGGTCACCGCACGGTCCGTCGCCGCACCGCTTCGGGACTCCATAGTGCCGTTTCCTGACGGCCCCGGGGTCCGGCGAGGGCCCCGAGAGGCCGAACTCGAGGAAGACTGTCGTCTCGACGTTTTTTGTTCGAATGGGCCCGCGCTCGTCCCGAGCCGGCGTGGCGCACGTGGTGGCCCCGGGGGAGGGGGCCCCGCCGAGGGCCCGCGGGCGCGGCGGCCTGGGCCGCGGGGGGCTCCCCCAGCACAGGCCCCCAGGGGATGGCAGGACTCGCCTTTTGGCTTGTGGGCAGCAGAGGCAGTGGCAGCGACAGCAAGCAGCAGCGGCACCGGCAGCGGCAGCAGCAACACCGGCAACAGCGACAGCCAAGAACAGCCAACAACAAACCAACAACCGGCAACAACAGCCAACAGCAGCAACAACAGCAACAACCACAACCAACAACAACAGCAGCAACAGCAACAAACAACAACAACAACAACAACAACAACAACAACAACAACAACAACAACAACAACACCAACAACAACAACCACAACCACAACCACAACCACAACCACAACCACAACCACAACCACAACAACAACAACCATCAACCACCAACAACAATCAACAACAACAACCAACAACCAACAACCAACAACACCAACAATAACAACTACCCACAACCAACAGCAACAACAAACAACCAACAACCATCAACAACCAACAACAACAGCAACACCAACCACCATCAACAACAACAACCATAACCAATTGCAACAGCAGCAACAATCATGTTACCCTCATGCCCGATGTTTTTCCACACGAAGCATGCGACCATCATGATAACCATCCACATCATGGGGGATTATTGCTCTATAGCGGGGTCCGTTATTTCCATTCCCAGATCTCCCGTCCAATGAGGTCTTGCAAACACCTCCTCCGAGGAATTACAACATATCCCGCCTCGGAAACACATGCCCGCGCGCTGCTGCGCCGATGCGAGACCGCCAGTGGAACGAACGACAGGATTGCCTTGGTGGGGATGGGGGCTGTCGGCGGTGAGGCAAGGACCTGACCCTGAATAGAAAGGGAGGAAGTCTCGAGCAGGGCTGGTGTTGTTGCTGGGAGCGGCGCCAATGCTGAAGAGAGTACTGAAGAGGGTAGGGCGCTAGCCCAGCGTAACTCAAAACGAAGTCTCGAGCGGGAACGCTGGTTTTGTTGGGACGGCGGCTTTCGGCGGCGAGGAGGAACACCGCCTTGAAGGAGAAAGGAGGAAGCATCGAGCGGGAGCCGTGATTTTGTCGGGACGGGGGCTGTCGGCGGCGAGGAACAGCACCGTCTTCAGGAAAAATGGAGGAAGCCTCAAGCGGGAGCGTTGTTCTTGCTGGGAGCGGCGCCAATTCAAAAGAGAATTGGGCGCCAGTCCAGCGTAAAACGGAAGGAAGTCTCGGGCGGGAGCGCTGGTTTTGTCGGGGCGGCGGTTTTCGGCGGCGAGAAGGAGCACCGCCTTGAGTAAAAAAGGGAGGAAGCCTCGAGCGGGAGCGTTGGTTTTGCTGGGGGCGGCGCCGATGAGAGAAAGACTAGCGCGCCAGTCCAAGGTACAACGGGAGGAAGTCTCGAGCTGGAGCGCTGGTTTTGTTAGGATGGCTGGTTTCGGCGGCGAGCAAGAACACCAGCCCTGAGTAAAACATGAAGAAGTCTCGAGCGGGAGCGTTGTTGATGTTGGGGGGGCCGTTTTGGCTGTCCCCCACACCGCTCGAGCGTGAGCCTCATTTTCAATGAAAATGTAGCTGGCGCCTCGGCGAGAGCGCCAGAGCGCCTTCCTATGAGGGGTCCAACAATAATAATTGTTGAGTAATTAACATTCAACCAACAACAGCAATAACCAACAATCAACACCACCAACAACCAACAGCAACCCCAACAACATCAACCAACAACCAACAACAACACCATGACCAACAACAACAACACACAAACACCAACAACCAACAACCGACAGCAACAGCCACAGCCACAACCAACAACACCAGTAACAACAACAACCAACAACAACCAACAACCAACAAGACACCAACAACAACCAACAACAACATCATCAACACCAACAACAGCAACAACAACCAACACCAACAAGCACCACCATCAATCAGCACCAACATCAATCAACAACCAACAACAACAACCAACAACAACAACAGCAAGCAGCACCAAAAACAACCAACAGCAACAACACCAACAGCAACAACCAACACCCACCGACAACAGCAACGAACGACACCAATAACTACAACCCAACAACAACAACCAACAGCTCACACCAACCACCATCAACAACCACGAGGAACCAACAGCCAACACCAACCAATAACTAGCAACAACACCAACAACAACATCAACCAACAACCAACACCAACCATTCCAACAACAACCACAAACAACAACAACAACAACCAACCCCACCAACCAACACCAACAACATCACCAACAACATCAACACCACCAACAACAACCAACAACCAACAACAATAACACCACCAACAACGACAACAACCAACAACCATCATCAACACCTCTAACAACAACCAACAACCAATAACAACCACCAACCAAAAACCAACAACCACAACAACCACAACAACAACCAACACCAACAATACCAACAACAACCACCAACGACCACAACCACAGCCAACAACGACAACAGCCAACAACAGCAACAACCAACAGCCGCAACCACCACCAACAACAACACAAGCAACCAGCAACCAACAACCAACAACCAACAACGACGTTACCAACAACAACCACCAGCCACCAGCAACAGCAACAAGACCGACAACAACAACAAACAACAACAACCAACAACAACCAACAGCGAACCACAACCACAACCAACACCACCAGCAACAACAACACCAACAACCAACAACAACAACAACAACACCACAACCAGCAACCAGCAACCAGAAGCAACAACAACATCAACACCAACAACAAACCCCCAACCAACAACGCCAACAACAACCAACAACCAACAGCAACACCAACAACACCATCAACCAACACCACCAACCAACACCAACAACAACAACCAACAACCAACAACAACCAACAACCAACAACATCAACAACAACCAACACCAACCAACAACCAACAACAGCTACAACCAACAACACCAACAACAACAACAACAACAACCAACAGCCACAAGCAACAACAATGACCACAGCAACAGCAGCAACAACGACAACACCCAACACCAACCAGCAACACACAACAACCACCACCAAGCAACAAGATCAACAACACCAACAACAACCAACAGCCACAACCAGCAACAATAACCACAACAACAACAGCAACAACAACCAACAAGAACCAACAGCCAACAACAACCAACAACCAACAACAACACCAACAACAACAACCAGCAACCAACAACGACATCCATACCAACAAGGACATCAACCAACAACCAACAACAACTAACAACCACCAACAACAACCATAACCACAACCAACAACAACAACACCAACAACAACCAACACTATCACTAACCAACACAACACTACAAACAATCAACAACAACCAACAACAACACGAACAACAACA